AGATGTCCACGTAAGGGAGACCACTGAGAAACGACATTTGTTTAAAATTGGTCTCAAGACAAGACACTGTAAATCCAGGACCTCAGGAAAAAGAAATGGCAGTTGCAGTGTCCCTAAACTTCCAGAAATGCCCTCAGCCAATCCTGTCAATTAAACCTATAGTGGCACTATAGTAGGTGTTTCAGTGTTATTATACATATGAATCTTGAAAACACAGTGTTATATCTGCGCTGGTCCCAGGATATTAGAGAGACAACTGAATTTTGTCCAATAAAAGCTATTAACTCACCTCATGTCTCTCTCAAGGTAGGCTGACACAGGCCTGGTTTATACTACAAAGTTAGGTCATCATAAGCCACCTTGAATCAATCTAGTAGTGCATTTGTCTCCACTTAAATTTTTCTCACACCAATTTAAGTGCCGTGTTATTGTGGAAGCAGTAAATAATGATGAGGATAGGTGAGTCATTCAGATCAAGTGGGTGCAAGCAAACCTTATAAACTGAATATGAACCATACGTTCATGATATAGCTAAATGTAAATGTGTACATCTAGAAAGGCATAGATGGCTGAAGGAAGTTTTTCTTCACTCAGCGCACAGTCAACCTGTAGAACTCCTTGCCACAGGATGCTGTGAAGGCTAGGACTATAACAGAGTTTATAGAGAAGTTAGATTAATTCACGGAGGTTGGGTCCATGCAGTGCTATTAGCCAGGGGGTAGGAATGGTGTCCCTGGCCTTTGTTTGTGGAAGACTGGAGATGGATGGCATGAGACAAATCGCTTGGTCATTGTCTTCGGTCCATCCCCTACGGGGGTAGCTGGTGTTGGCCACTGTCGGCAGACAGGCTACTGGGCTAGATGGACCTTTGGTTTGACCCAATATGGCCATTCTTATGTTCTTATGTTCTAAGCTCAGCTCAGGGATCAGGGTCGGGGGTCTCACTGCACCAACTTGATTTTCATGCAAACCTGTTCCTAGGTTCATATGTGGCCTTTGGTGGCCAGGCTGGCATCTATCCTGCCCTAGACGGCCGCATTCCTGTGCCTAGTGCGGAGGTCATGGACGTTAGAGGCCTCCCCCCAAACCTCGATGAGGTCCATGATCTCCGCACTAGATCAGGCGGGCGCCCTCCTCTTGGGGCCCCGGGCAGGCTCCTGTGAGCCGCCAGCCTGGTCCCGGGAAGAGGCGGAGGGCTGGGTGGCAGTGGGTGGCTCTGGCTCATGCCGTGCCAGGTGCAGGGTCTGCTGGCTGGGTGCTGGAAGGCTTGTAATGGCACGAGCACTGTAGCCAGACTGTGTCCTTTTAAGGGCTCCAGGGCCAGGAGGGGGGCAGAAGAGTTTCCCTGGTTTTGGCCAGAGTGGCCACCAGAGCAACCTGGTAAGGGCTAGCCTCCAACTAGTTCGAATTAAGTGGCTACAAAGCCCTTAATTTGAACTAGTTAATTCGAACTAGGCGTTAGTCCTCGTAGAATGAGGTTTACCTCATTCGAATTAAGCGCTCCGCTAGTTGGATTTCAATTTGAACTATCGGTTTGCATGTGTAGCCCCTATGAAAGTTAATTTCAACTAATGGCTGTTAGTTAGAATTAACTTTGTAGTGTAGACATACCCAAAGAGAGATAGCATTGTTATCTAATTTTCATTCTGCTGTAGCATTCTACTAGGTGGGGCAGGAGCATGAAGAGCAGTTTGTTTATGTACACAAGCCTCCTGAGAGGTCCCAATGAAACTTTCAAGAAGACGCTTTACCATCCACCCCAAAAAGTTTCTGCCGATGGCAGCCTTCTAGTGTCAGTTAGTGATGAGTTTGGCAGGCAGGTTTTTCCTCCAGCTCGACGTTATTTTGAAATAAAGGCTTGTCATGTAGGCATGCACTATGTTATTTATAACACTGCAGTGTAGATGTACCCCTAGGGATTTGGACATTAAAAATGATTTAATTTGGAATATACACAGATACCACAATGATGGGCAGCAGTATAAAACATTTAGATAGAAGGACCAATCCACTAGATTGGGAAAGAAATAGGAAGATAGGGCCATGGCTCCAGAGCTACACAGCAGAGACTATGTCAACCAGCAGGCTGAAGTGGCCCTTTACTTCTTTTATAGTTTTCATTGCAGGGCATAGACATGCAGAGGATTTATATAGTAGTGGTCCCACTGTCCCCACCCATCCTACCTTTGGCCTCTATTACAGCCCAAATACAATTTGGGCATTCCCATTACTGAAAGCAAGAGGGGAGCTGGGTTTTGTATGCGGCAGAGGGTTGTTCTACCTGGCATGTTTCTCCACTCAGATATTTGGCCTCCACCTTGTACTGTACAACCCCAGCAATTCTAATGCCAGGAGGCCCACTTACAAGGCAGGATTATCGTCATTTAAAAAAAAAATTGCCATTGAAAAAATAAGTACAGTAGCTCCACCATTTTTGACCAGTCATTGATTTGATCTCCCTCTCAATCTATTAACAGCCCTGATGCTTTAGGGCCTTCCTCATCGGACATACTTCAAGTTCTCATGTTCCCCTCAAAATGAAATGAGTCCCTGCAGTCACTTTTAAACACTGGATCCAAAGAGTCTTAAATTATACATACACTGGAACTACTCAGATAAGACAGCAAATTGGATTTAGTGTCACACTTTTACTTGAAAACCTAGCTAAGCACACCCTGTTCCCAACGCTCTCTCTGCCCCCAACAATATATAATTGGGGAGGATATAGCACTGGAGAAAATGATTAAGTTTTAAGTTTACACACCACATTTGTTGAATCCGGGGCATTTTTGTACTTTCATGCTCTCACAATAGAAAGACTACCTATGATCATTATTAACTACAGATAGATATATCATCCCTTGGGATCAAATCAGAAGCCCCCTGAAGAAAATGGAAGTGGGTTTTGGATCTGGAATTTATATTGTCAATTTCTCAGGCAGAGGCTGCCTTTCTTTGGTTTTGCATACAGAGCCTAACACATCTTCAATGAACAAAATACTACATGAGCATTTGCAGAGATGTAATCCTTTAGTAGAATAGGAGCCAGGATCTCACTGCCCTTGGCCTGACTCGGCAAAGCAAGTAGATAGATGCCCTAGTGGCTAAATCGAGATTTATGCATATAATTAAGTGCTTTGGTGAACCAAAGCTTCTGGGATGTAATACAGCTGCATTCAAATTCCTAGGAATAGGATTGAACCTGTTTTCTTTTCTCTTGGATTCATTATCATAGAATCATAGAACCATAGAGCTGGAAGAGACCTCAGAAGGTCATCAAGTCCAGCTGCCTGCTCTAGGCAGGATCAATCCCAACTAAATCAACCTGGCTAGGGCTTTGTCAAACCGAGACTTAAACACCTCTAGGGATGGAGACTCCACTACTTCCCTAGGTAACTCATTCCAGTGCTTCACTACCCTCCTAGTGAAATAGTTTTTCCTAATATCCAACCTGGACCTCTCCCAGCACAATTTGAGACCATTGCTCCTTGTTCTGCCATCTGCCACTAGTGAGAACAGCCTTTCTCCATCCTCTTTGGAACCTCCCTTCAGGAAGTTGAAGGCTGCTATCAAATCCCCCCTCACTCTTCGCTTCTGCAGACTAAACAGACCCAACTCCCTCAGCCTCTCCTCAAAGGTCATATGCTCCAGCTCCCTAATCATTTTGGTTGCCCTCCACTGGACCCTCTCCAATGTGTCCACATCCTTTTTGTAGTGGGGGGCCCAGAACTGGACACAATACTCCAGATGTGGCCTCACCAGAGCCGAATAAAGGGGAATAATGACATCTCTGGATCTGCTGGCAATGCTCCTCTTAATGCAACCTAATATGCCATTAGCCTTCTTGGCTACAAGGGCACACTGTTGACTCATATCCCTCTACTCATCCACTGTAACTCCCAGGTCCTTTTCTGCAGAACTACTACTTAGCTGGTTGGTCCCCAGCCTGTAACAATGCTTGGGATTCTTCCGCCCCAAGCGCAGGACTCTGCACTTGTCCTTGTTGAACCTCATCAGATTTCTTGTGGCCCAATCCTCTAATTTGTCTAAGTCACTCTGGACCCTATCTCTGCCCTCAAGCATATGTACCTCTCCCCCTAGCTTAGTGTCATCTGCAAACTTGCTGAGGGTGCAATCCATCCCCTCATCCAGGTCATTAATAAAGATATTGAACAAAACCGGTCCTGGAACCGAACCTTGGGGCACTCCGCTAGAAACTGACTGCCATCATAGAAGCTAATCAGATTGGTCAGGCACGACTTTCCCTTTGTGAATCCATGCTGACTATTCCTAATCACTTTCCTCTCTTCCAAGTGCCTCAAGTGCCATTAGTTAAGTTGAATTTGTTTTTAAAGTCATCGTTTTTGTTGTTTATTTTAGATCTTTCCTGATGCGAGCCGCCCAGTGCAATGATGAGTAGAGGAGACAAGACCAGACTTTTTTTTTTTTTTTGGTCTCTGCTAGTCTCTCATTGCAAGAACCTCACTAAAATTTCCCCATCAATTGCTTATGAGCCAGGAGCAAGAGCTCCCAAAACTTTTGCCAAAAAAATCAAAAAGTGAAAATGCATAGAAAGAAATCCATGGAATGAGAAAGTTGAAGCACTGTTTGAACAGTATTTCCACAAAACAGGTCTGACTTGCTAAATCAGTTTTATATCAGCGTCCTTCTATTAACGTTAACTTAGTTACCACAGAGGAGCGGATTGAAGACTCAAGCCACTTGCTATAGTTAAAGAAATCAGGCCTAATTTTCCACAGCCTTGCATTATCTGTGCTATTATCTAGCTATGCAATTTGCGTTCCTTTTGGATTCCATAGTGTCTTGTACTCACTTTGCTCGGGCATAAATGACAATATAAGATATAAACAAGTGGAGAATAAAATAAGGACCCGAGAAATATACGATTACATTTAACAAATGCTACAAATTCACTCCAAAATTTGAAATCTATAGTTGTACTTAGCACAGAAAATATCTTCTGGACTATTTTTACTTACAGCAGACATGATGAGCTCCCCCCCGAGATTTTGAATTTCTGCTTTAACTTGACTGCAGATTTTGAGCTGGTGAGAATACAGCTTGATCTGTTCCAGGTAAGCCAATACATCCTGTTTACATGATTGGTCAGGACACTACACATTAAAAAGAATAATGAATTAAAACACTTTCTACAAAATTCCTAATCACTTCAGTTTTCAATTCAGAGATCTGTCCTAAAATAACTCCCAAAATAACTATTTCAAAATAAGCTTATTCCTTTTCACAAGCAGGAGTTATTATTTCAAAATAACAAGTCCATTATTTTGAAATAACAGGTTTGGTAGTGTTATTTCAAAATAAGAGGAGTTATTTTAAAATAACTTATCAATGTAGACATGCCCTAACATAACATGCTAATGTCCAAACTAGTGTTTCAAATGTGCATTCAAAATTTAGACCTAGATTTTATCAAATTCATGTTCTCTTTAAGAATATAATTATTCTCTAGTGTAGTTTTAATCTTCACTGCGCTAAAGTTTGTTTATTTGCTAATATTGTAAACCTTTTAAAACCTTACAAACAAAGAGGTGCTCAGTGATCCCAAACATTACTGCTTTTACCCATTCTTAATTCAAGACTACTGGATTTGCCTTAACAACAGTTCTAACTGAGTAGCTTTCACTAGTGCATGAAATTACTATTTTATTTCAGCATCTAAGAGATTCTGCATTCATTTTTGCAATGTTGCTTACCATTTAAAGTGCAAACTATATGGATGACTAACAAGGGAAACCCACATTAATAGATGGTTAAAGAGACTCTAGATTATGAGCTCTATCCAGATGCCACTCAAGTCAATGACAAAATTCCCATTGACATCAGCAGAAAGAGGAGTAGGTGATAGTTTTGAACAAAACATATCTCATGGGAAAGTCTCTCTTTTTTATGGTGATGCTCATACTGTCCATGAAATCTCTTTACTCGCTCATGACTTCAGAGGAATGATGGAGAATTCTTTGAGAGACATTGCTGTCTGATGAACAACCTGGTCATGTAGTACCAGGTTCTCATTTACACTAAGCTATTCAGTGCTATAGCAGTGTTAAGCAGTCTTTAAAAAGGATATTCAATACTTACCCTGCCACAGCAGTATGAAGTAGACTTACATAAATGTCAATTTAGTCTTTGAGAGATTTGATTATAGCCTTTTTACTGTAGATAAGTTGAAAATATAGTCTGTTTCCTTTGATGGACCATTGTGTCAACACGAGTGTACTTTTTAAAAGACCAGTTGCAGTAGAATAGTGATAGAAAGTTGCAGTAGGATTGACCAGTTGCAGTAGGATTGACCTTTTGCTGTTCATGGCTGGAGCATCATTCCATTAGGCTTACTGTTAGAATCTATACATAGTGTCAATATGACTAGATCATAAGGCTCATCCAAGTTTCTGCTGTTGTAGAGAATTTACTCCCATGTTGTCTTGCAACATGAGGCATGTTATACCCAATGATCTGTTGATGTAAAATCCTCAATAAATAACTCTAAGAAGGAGTATCAGACTTAATTCATGAGATATCTTGGGGTATAACCTGTGGTCCTTTGAAAGTCACTGGTACTTTTCCCATTGACTTCAGTGTGGTTAGGAGTCAATCCACAGGATTATAGGCCAGAATTCAAAATTCTATTGATGAATTTGAAAGACTGAGTGTTTGAGATTTAGAAACAGAAAGTCAGCAACAATCACAAATTAAAAAAGAGAGCTCCTGATTTGTAAACCTGAGAGTTTCAGGACTTCCTCGTAGAGCTGAAAAAGAATTGTTACTCCTTTTTGGCCTCAACACACTTTGTAATGAATGAGTTTAATACCACTATCACAGTACAGTATAGGCAGCTGGTATAAACATTGTATATTTCTGTAATTGCAGTTCAATAAAATCTGCCCTTCTAGTCATAAACAGCTGTAAGCATCAAAACTAACAGTATGGAAATGAAATATGTCGACTGGAACCATCTATTCATTCCTCAGTTTTTTTGTAAAATGACCTGTGATATTTGTTTCCATTTGGGCAGATCCCAGAGAAAAGCATATAGGATTTTAGTGTAAATTCTCATTGAAATAGCAGTAAAATTGATCATATAAGTCTTTGGTGCAAAGGTAATGGTAATAAAATTCAGTGTGGCTGTGTCTACACTGGACCACTTATTCCGGAAAATCAGCCGCTTTTCCGGAATAAGCTGCAAGCTGTCTACACTGGCCCTTGAATTTCCGGAAAAGCAACGATGCTCTACTATACAAAATCAGCCGCTATTCCAGAAAAACTATTCTGCTCCCGCTTGGGCATAAGTCCTTATTCCGGAACACTGTTCCGGAAAAGGGCCAATGTAGACAGCCCAGTAGTCTTTTCCAGAAAAAAGCCCCAATCGTGAAAATGGCAATCGGGGCTCTTTTCCGGAAAAGTGTGTCTACATTGGCCACAGACGCTTTTCCAGAAAAAGGGCTTTTCTGGAAAAGCAGCCTGCCAATGTAGACGCTCCTTTTCCGATAAAACTGAAAACGGAATAGTATTCCGTTTTAAGCATTTCCGGAAATTCATGCCAGTGTAGACACAGCCCTTATGTTTAGATAAGAAGAACAGTGAGGTAGCAAATTTGAAAATGGCACCACATTATTAGATTAGATCAAATTAGAGACTATTGGAAACTCCAGAGAAGTATAACATAGCTAGGATAATAGGTAGCATGAGGTCAGTGTTGCCTGATACACATTTGAAGGAATTATGTTCGAACTAGCAGAGTAATGTAGGCATACCGCACTTGCAAATGAAGCCCGGGAAATTCAGATCCCGGGCTTCATTTGTAAGTGCGGTATGCCTACATTACCCCGCTAGTTCGAACTAGCGGGGTAATGTAGGCATACCGCACTTGCAAATGAAGCCCGGGAAATTCAGATCCCGGGCTTCATTTGTAAGTGCGGTATGCCTACATTACCCCGCTAGTTCGAACTAGCGGGGTAGTGTAGACATACCCTGAATTAGTGATATGTACTACCAGCTTCTAAAGTAACTGAAATCACTCTGAAAAAAAGGCCTGGGTTTCACTGTGGATTACTCAGTGGAAAGTTCTGCTAAGTGTGCTGTGGAGGTAAAACAGTGTTAGGACATTTAATAGGTTAGAAAATACAACTGATACTATTATCATGCCATTATATTATTTGTTAAGATTTCACTGTGAGTGTTCTGCTTAGTTTTGCTTGCCCCATCTGAAAACAATATATCAAAAATAGAAAGGCTCTAGAGATAGGCTAGAAGCACAGAAAACTTCCATAAAAGGAGAGATTGGAAACATTTGGTCTGTTCAGTAAGAAGATGAATAGTTATGGGGTAGGCTAGGGATGTGCATAATAAAGACTGTCACAGAGAAGGTCATTAACATGTTCTTATAATAGAATTAAAAATGAAGTAGCCAGTGACACTAAGGCAACACATTCAAAAGTGACAAAAATATTTTCCATTACTCAAAGCTGCAGAACTCATTATTAAATGGTAGGATTGAGCCAAGAGCTGAATGGCATTCAAAAAAGGATGAGACATTTATACAGTAATTCCTTATTTAACATTATAAATATGTTTCAGAAAATGATCGTGTCAGGTGAAAACGTGTTATGCGGGGTCAATTATCCCATTGAAAATAATGGAAAAGGTGGGGGTTGCATTTCAAGCGGTGGTGTCTGTTGGGACCGGGACATAAGGTTGGGGGAGAAAGAGGACTGGGTTACAGCAGAGTGGGGAGGTGTTTGGCTCTGGGGAAGGGAAGGGGAGGAGAGGAGAGGGGGATTGGATTGGGAGTATGACCCTGTGATAGGTCTGCCGGGGAACAGCGCGGCAAGCAGTGAACCCTCCGCTGCTTTGCAGGGAGGCAGGGGAAGCCCCACGCAGCTGCAGGTGATGGGCCAGCTGGGGAACCCCAGCCGCTGGCCTGCAAGCGGGGATGGAGGAGAGGAGGCAAGGCATCCAGCGAGGGGGAGTCAGTGGGGAACAGCACGGTGAGTGGCAAACCCTCCGCTGCTTTGCAAGGAGGTGGGGGAAGCCCCGCACAGCTGCTGGCAATGGGCCGGCTGGGGAAATCGTATTATTCCAGGGATGGTCGTGTAATTCAAAAAATGTTCCCTACAAAAAAATCATGCTATTGTGAAAATGTGTTAAGTGGGCACATGTTAAATGAGGAATTACTGTATAGGTAATCTATGTTACGCTACTCATGATAAAATAATACAAGGAATATAAGCTCTAGTGCTCAGGGATTTATTAGCCAATTATTAACAGATAGAAAGAATCTTTCCTTTTGGGCAGGTTAGTCCATTGGGGATTTCCTACACATTCCTTTGAAGCATTGGATACCAGTCACACTTGCATACCAGATCAATGGTCTGTTCTAGTATGAGAATTATTGTGTTCCTAGCATTTATCATCCCAGAGACTGACTGAGATTTACCAATTTAATTTCTCACATTGAAAAATAAATTTCAGTCAGATATAGTGTCAAATTACAAAGGGTGTGATTAAAGAGACAAGAGAAAGAGTGCTATGTAGCTTCAAAGAATGTGTCTCTCACCAACAGAAGTTCAGTACAAGATATTACCTCACCTCCCACTTATCTCGCTAATATCCTGAGACCAACATGGTTACACAGCACTGCAAAAAAGGAAGGGAGGAAAGGGGTGATTCTGCCATCACTGGGATCCTAAATTCAATCGGAAAATTGGGAGGCTTTGGAGGAAGTTTAAAGAAATAATATCGATTGTAATATCCTCAAATGCTTTGATAAGCAATGCAATGGCTGTGAATTCAGGGAAACCTACTTTGAAAATAAAGGTGAAAAAGTATTGCCATTAGCCACTGGCAGAACTGTAGCACAAAAGATCAATACATGTTACACTGCAGGCAACTTTGACCATAAGTTTATTGGCTTTTGATTTCATCACTTTACCAAAGAAATAAATGTCATTTTCTTAGCACTTGAACTGAGCGTAGTGATGATTAATATCATGTAGCACGATAGTAATTTTCAGTATGTTCTCAGTACATATATAAAGTTTTTAAATATTCAATTAATGCAACAGTTGGCATTTAGCACTTCTGATTGGCACTTACT